CTTTCTAAAGTAAACTAACAAGCCTACTAGTCTTTCTATATATTATTTAAAAAATTTCAAGATTATTCAAAAATAACTAAACCTACGTCCTTTACTTTTTACAAATGTCTTATAGCTTCCTCCTAATACAAGATACTTACCTGCTTCTGAATATATGTCTTAAAATGTGTTACCTATAACTTTCTTTTTTAACTCTTGTTTGGCTATATCTCTATTACTTCAGCTTAGCTCCCCCTCTACCCTTGGTGCTAGGGAAGGAACTCAGGGCTGTACACATGCTAGGCAAGTGTTCTAACCACTGAGTGTACCCCCAGCCATATATTTGTTTTGTAAAGGTTGATATATTGTTTAATCCCATTAAATTTATAGTTATTTATTAGACTTTACTTTCTTTTTTTTTTTTTAACAAATAACCAAGTATTTTTTAACACTTTATATTTAAACAAAGGATGTTTTAATCTTTGGTTTACCTTAATTTCATTATTTTTAGACCTATATAAGTATATGTGTATGTTTGTGTATATACATATATATGTGTATAAGTATACATATAAAATTTTTTAGTTTAAATTTTTTTTTGCTAGTACTGGGAATTGAACCCAGGGCCTTGTACACATATTAAGCAAATAGTCTATCACTAAGCTACATCCCCAAACTCCTTCTAAATATTATTAAAGTCAAATTCTGAATTCTCTAAGTCTCTCCCTATTTATGAGATCAGAGAAATGTTCTATACCAATAATTGTCCTATTCCCTTATACTTTTAGAGGTTCCAAGAAAGTGCTGGTATAGGAGATGGGTAAGTGGAGGTAATAAATCAAACAGATGGAAGACTAGCCTTTGTAATCAAATTTAACCAGAGTAGGTATTTTATTTTACAAATTAAACTTCTTAATCTGAAACAAGCAGTTCAGGGGCTTCAAAATAGTTCTTTTTTAAAAATGTTTATTCTTAAGCTTTATGTGAATACAATATGTTTATTTTACATTTTTGTGGTGCTGAGGATCAAACCCGGTGTCTTGTGCATGCTAGGCGAGCACTCTACCACTAAGCCACAACCCCAGCCCCAAAATAGTTCTTGAATTATGGAACTGCTTATAATCTCTTATGGACCTTCTAGTTCATGAACATGATTTACTTTAATTATAGTGGTTTAAAAATAAGAGAAAAATTGGGTGTGGCGGTGCATGCCTGTAATCCCAGCTACTCAGAAGTCTAAGGCAAGTACACAAGTTCAAGGCCAGCCTGGGAAACTTACCAAGTCTCTCTCAAAATAAAAAATAAAAAGGGCTGGGAATATAGCTCAGTGTCAAAGCACCACTAGGTTCAATCCTCATACCACTAAAAGTTTTTTAAAAATAAATAAATAAAAAGAGGAAGAAAGGGAAGATTCTGAATAAAAAGTCATTAAGAAGAAATATACAGAAATTTTTCAAAAAGCATACCAATTAGCTTTTCCTCCATTGGTTATCCACATCTTCTGACCATTAATAATATACTCATCTCCTTTCTTTTCTGCTCTGGTCTTTATACCAGCTACATCAGAGCCTGCTCCTGGTTCTGTTACACAGTAAGCCTTGAATATGTGGAATAAAAGAAAAAATTAAAGGCTGAGTACTAAGTTATAAATGTATAGAAACAGAATTTTGTTTTGTCTTGTTTCTGCAATTTGGGGGACTGAGTCCAGGGTCTTGCACATGATTGAGCTATATCTCCACAGTCCCCATATTTTATTTTTAAAGCAAGTAAGTAGTTCAATTATTTTTAAAATATCAAAAATTAAAACATTTTTAGAAAATCAAATAAATGTCTCAAATGTAAAAATATTTAATGTATAAATTAAAATTGGGTGTAGGACACTAATAAATAATATAAAAAATTAAAATGCTAGGTATCTTCAAACAAATTCATTTAATTCAATTCAATATATATTCATTTCCTGGAACATTTGAGTATACTAGACTATAAAGTAGGAGATGGGAAACCAGAAATGAAATCTTGTCTTAGAAAGTTTTACAATGTAACAGTAAAGATAAATAACCTAATTGTTACTATATGTCTAAATGTAAAAATTATGCACAAAGAAGTTGAAAAACTATCTTACTAGAAATGATGCTTAAATTAAGTCTCAAATGGAAAAGCAATTCTTTGGGGGAAGGAATAAGAATTGTTACCATATAATCTTGGTATAGATGTTTTCTAGGCAGCAGTACAGAATATGACACCAAGAAAAGAAATAGGGTTATCTAGTATTTGAAATGCTGGAAGTACTGGACTTCTATAATATGTGAATATATTATATTATATACTGTGCATGCAAGGAATGATAAGATATGAGTCTGGATAAAAGGAACAAAACAGATGACAAAGAACCCATTATATCAAACTAAAAATTTTAAATTGTATCTATTAGAAACAGGATGGCTTCTTAAGGCTCTTCAACAGAGGAGTGACAATAGACAGCCAGTAATGGATAAAGGGAATCTAGGGAGGCAAGAGTTAGAGAGTTCAAGTTAATTTGAGTTTATTGAGCAAAAGGTACAGTGGATATATACCATCTAAAGACACAGGTTCATTGCTCTTAAGTTACTTAAGAGTCTAAAGAAGAAAGAAATCTTAATTTAAAATCAAAGTATAAAATAATTACTTAACTTGTTACAGGAGGGTTAGGAGATGATGGGAGGTATGGAGGTTGAAAAGAAGTAAAACTTGCTGGAAAAGGTAAGTTTTAAATAACAAGAGTGAGGTAAATAGATCTAAGGCTCCAGAAGAATGAAGGAGCAAATGTGTAGAGGAAACTACCAACAGTTCAGTACTAAAATGTAAGGAGAAACTTAAAAGCATAAAAAGAGGCTGGTGAAGCAGGTAGGGAAGAGCTCATGGAGGCCAAATGATATGTCACACTGAGGAGAGAATATTTTTATGCATTCAACAGAATAGTTAAATGACTGCTTACTATTATGCCATGGAATCTTAAGGAATCAAATAGATAGGCTTCAACAGAATAGATAACACCCTAGTGTGCAAAAGTGAATAGTATATACATTTTTTTTAGAGGAAGTCAGATTTGGAAATGGATTCACAAATTTAAACATACCTTAAGTTCTAGTGCAGTTGATAATATAGAACCACTGAATGCCTTTGTAAACACATTTGCAAACACATTTGGATGTGCTTTTAAGTTTACTATTACAAAAGTTTGAAGGATGGATTTAAAGAGGAATTATAACAGCAAGAATCATCTTTCAGGTGCTGTTTGAATAAAAACCATACTTGGGGCTGGGGATGTGGCTCAAGCGGTAGCATGATCGCCTAGCATGCACGGGGCACTGGGTTCAATCCTCAGCACCACATAAAAATAAAATAAAAAGATGTTGTGTCCACTGAAAACTAAAAAATAAATATAAAAAAATCTCTCTCTCTCTCTTACAAAAAAAAAAAAACCCCACAAACAAACCATACTCAAATATCAAAAGGGCTCTACATCTAAGGGAAATAATTTGAACTAGTGGAAAGAAACTATAATGACATTATTAAGTATTTATTGGATACCTATAATGATATTATAGTAAAATTTCATAAAAAGAAATGATAAAAACTGTCACTTGGTACATGTAATGTTGGTTAGAGATGCTCCCAAAGGGAGTTACTTCAAAAAGCCTCGACTCCAGGCACTCAAGGTATGAAAACATGAGCATAATGGCTTTGGGAGAGGAATGCAGTAGAACAAACTCACTTGTCACAGAGGTTAAGTGAACTAGATTACTTTTTTGAAGATTCAATAAAGTGTTCAGCATCATTAACAAAATAAGGTTTTATACATATGAACTGACCAGAAAAGATGATCCTCTGAAGTACCAAAATTTTGTGTTAACCATCTTTAATAATTTAAAAAAATATACTATTAGACATGTTTCTTCTTAATAAGGCAAATTTTTTAGAGCTTATAAAATATATGGGTCTGTCTTTGGATACAAAATAGCTTGTCACTGCTGCTTCTTTGGAGTTGTTTTTTAATCTTATTTGACCATTGTTTAGTAATTAATTTACTTTTTCTAACCCTCTTTTAGAAGAAGAATCCCTTTTTTTTTCATTGTTACTTATTCCCTCACTATTTTGTATGATACAGCATTATACACAAAACTGTAGTTGCTCATGTTGTTTTTCTTATTCTACATCACAATCTCTTGAAGATAGGATTGATAATACTGTTTAATAAATGATGTCCCTAAAATTTTTCATCTTCATTATTCTAACTAGTTTGATTTCCAACATTAGATGTGAATTTGCAAACTAGAAGATCAAGGAAATCAAATCAGTACATTGTTTTGTTCATAATTAGTAAGTAGACACTGCATAAAGATATAAGTTTATCAGATTCCTAACTCCTTATAAGGAGAAGCCCTGTCTTTACATTCTATTCTCAGTCTTACAACTCAAATATTTGAATAAGTATAACATTATGCTTTTCTTTATTAATGATAATACCACCTCCTTACATTTATATAATTCACAAAGCAATATTGCATTTATTCTTTGTTTAAATTTTCTGGGCGGTATTAAAGCATTTTAAAGGAAATTAGATAGTTTATATATTTAAAAACAAAAAAATTAGGGTGAAAGAAATAAAACTAGAAAGAAAAACAATACACAGCAACATGTTTTGAGGTTCAAATAATTACTAGAGTAAAAATTGGCTCAAGTTTTCCTACTTACCAAAAGAGAGAAAACAGTATTAGTTATAAGTTTCAAGTATGCATTTCCATAAGTGAAGTCTGGCATATATCATGAAAAGCAGTTATAAGAGAAGCAGTTCCCTTAGTCATTAGGTATGAAAGGCATTTCGCTAATATATTTTTGCAACACTCAGTGAAGATATTCCTATAGAAACATAAGTTATCTTGTTTTTCTTTACTATATCCCTTTAAAACATTATACACTCAATGTTTAGTAAAGACTTCAAGATTAAGTGAATATACAAGATTATCCTGCTGTTATATGACGAGTTAAGACCTGAAGCCCAGTCTTTAGAATCCAAGTTTAGATCTGTTAGGCACATTCCAGCAATTTTCTAGTTCCATGAAAAATACAAGGTTTTACAACAAGAGTTTTATTTACCAGGGGGTGTTTTACACTTCTGGATTCTAAGACTATGTTTAGACAAATGAGTTTTACTGAATGTCCCCATAACAAGCTATTGAACAGTTTACACTTGATCTTAGGCAAAGGTTAAGAAGTGATAAATTATCTAGCGCTACATATATTTTAGGTATATACTGCTTAAAAAATAAAATATGGCTCTTAATTCTTAGAATATTATATATATAATATTAATTAATAATTCTGACTTTACAAAATGTTTTTGCAGTAAATGGCATTAAAAGCTATGGTTTTGCCCTTATTTATCTCCTCAGGTAGGGCATATGTGACTATAAGATCAGGTAAGTTATAAATAAACAATAAGAAATATATCTGTTCTGTGAAGTTAAATATAAAGATCTGTGTTAATTTTTATGTATCAATTATTCCATGGCATTTTTTAAGAGCAAAAATCTAAGAAGTTTCACTATTAAACAGTGTAGAATAGTAATTTATAGTGTATACATTAAAGACCATATTGCAGTAATAAATAACAAAGCATTTAAAAATAAGTAGAGCATAAGAAAGTGCTCATGATATTAAATAAAGACATAAAATTGCATATCTAATATTATGTTAAAATACAGAAAAATATTTATATATTTAAAAATCTAGTAGGAAATATAAAATAGCAATCCCAATTAGCTTCATATCTTTAGAATTACAGATATTTTTGTTCTTCTTGATACATTTCTAAGTTTTCTCTACTATTTACAATTTTAAAAATGTATTAAAATTTAAATAATGAACTGAATCAATTTATCAAAACTTATTGATACTTTCTATTTTTACCCTCAGCTTAGTATTTTAAGTACAACTACTGCTATTTAGCACTAGAATGAGAAAAATGCACAGAAAATCTTCATTAATTTAGAAGTTATCAAAAGAGGGAATAGTAAATGTATTTTTACATATATTGAAGGTGTTATTTAAAAAAAGTTTGAATATTTGTTTTATATTTAAAGACTCAAATATTTTAGAAATACCTATTTATAACTAGTATAAATATTCTTATCAATGTATTATGGTAGGTAGACTGAAGCATTTCTATGCTTCAATTGATTAACCCATGTCTATTAATATATATGCTACAAGAGAAGAATCTAGATATTTTATGCAGTTTTTAGACAATATTGAGAATATTTACACTAAATTGTATAATTTCCAATTACCTCGTAAATGTGTATGAATGTCTTTATAAGTAGTTTGCTTGACTTTTAAGTATCTGCAATGAATAAAATAATTTATTTTAAAATATTGCTTTCTACTCTTTCAGATGAATTCTCTCAATTAGTTTAAAATTCATAATAATCTACTATATTTCACTATTATAAACACACCCTAGATGGATATTTGGCTAATCAACAAGTAAAAATCCTTCAATAAAGAACAATTTCAAAACAGAACCTTGTATATCTGTATGTGCGTTGTTGTTGCTGTTGTTTTTGTTTTTAAATTCATTTTAAAAATTTGTTGAATTGCTTTCAAATAAAATGACGAATATACTCCCCAAGTCAACTGGCCATTCAAAAAATAAGTTAATCTCTTCAGTCACAGGTTTATATTAGTTTCTCACTAATTCAAACATCTACTGTTATACATTTAATCTGAACTTCCTCAGAAGTGGTTCTTCAAAAGAACCACTTAGTTCTTGAACTGCAGAATTAAGTAGATAGTGCTCCATTAAATAGATACTGTTCTGAAAACATTATTTAGTAGATATTTCTCCTGTAGAAATAAGAAAGGGGATTATTATGACACTTTATTGGCATCTTAGAACATCACTCTACCTAAATATGTTGACTACTTTTATCTTAATGTCATGTAGAATAGTATATACATATAGATTCAAAACTCTTTGTAAATGTGAAATATAAAATAAAGTAGTAGCTATACATACTCACACACATCATTGGCTCCTCAGTCATCCTCCCCAAATACTTCTTTTTTTGTTGATCATTTCCAGCGATAATAACAGGCATTTGCTAATGAAGAAAACAGACATTAAAAATCAAGACATTTTTATTAAATATGTAAATTCAGAGATATTCCAATTCAAAACAAGAAAAGAACTATTTCCTCCACAAGAGGTAAGTTCACAGAACTGGTTTTCATTCTGCCTTCAAGTTAAAAAGCTAAAGCCATGAAGTAATACATCTGCTACTGTCAGTATTTTCATATAAGTTATTTGTATAACTTATTACTTTAGTAAAATGCTCTAATAAAGGATTAAATTTAGAATGCATGACTTAGTACATATGATCTGGCCTCCTAAGAACTGCTCACTAAATTTCAGCACTGCTAATAGTGGCAGCAAGCCAACCTGATTGGTTCCTGAAGGCTGGCTCTAGGCCTTGCCCTTACTTAAGAATTCCCACTATAGCTGTAGCCAAAAAGTATACACTTTCCCCACAA